AATGAGCATTGCTCATATATATTTCCTCTCATTGCTCCGATTGATTGATTAGAACTTGTCAGGATGCTGTAACTTATATATTATGCAAATTCCAAATGTGCAACAAAACATATGCAATTATATTTATAAAAATTTTAGCAGAAGAAAAAAAAATAGTGCTCAACTTTCTTCCATATAAATATTACTCTACAATGATGCCGCAACAAACAATTTGACTAACATAATTTATTAGAAAACTCAAAACCAGTGCTCATATAGCTATCTGAATGAAATAAACCATTAAAGAAATCTGAAACAAACATATGAGCATTGCTCATATATAATTAATCCCATTACTTCTGCTAATTCATCAGAACAGATAAAAATGCTGCTAACTTATCTATCATGCATACTATAATTGTACGACAAAGAATATGCAATTCTATTTATAAAAGTCTCAGCGGCAGAAAACAAAAAAAAGCTCAATATTATGTGCAATTAGACCAACATAATTTGTTAGATAAACTGAAAATATGTGCCCATCTAATTATCTAAATAAAATAAACTTATAAAGATATCTGAAACAAACAAATAAGCATTGCTCATATATGTTTTACTCTATTGCTTTTCCTGATTGATCAAGACAGATAAGGATGCTGTTAACTTATCTATCATGTAAAATTTCAAATGTGCAACATATCATTTTCTAGTTATAAGAGTCTCAACAAACTTCAAATAAGGAATAATGCCCAACATTCTGAGCAATTCAGGCAGCATAATTTGTCAGAAAACTGAAAACCAACCCTCATATAACTATTCAGACAAAATAAACCAATAATGATCTCTGAAACAAACTGGTGAGCCATGCTCATATATATTTCACCACATTGCATCTGCTGATTGATCAGGACAAGTAAAATTACTGCTAACTTATCTATCATGCAAACTTTAATATATGCAACAAATCATATACATTTTTATTTATAAAAATCTCAGATAAAGTTAAAAAAAAGCAATGCTCAACATTTTCCCCCAAGATATTACTCTACACCAAGCAGGGGGCAAGAAAAAGCAATTTGGGCAGCATAATTTGTCAAAAAAAATTGAAAACAAGTGCTCACATATCTATCTAAACAAAATAAACCAAAAAAGAAATTTGAAACAAACAGATGAGTATTATTCATATATTTCATTCCATTGTTTTTTTTATTAATCAGAACAGGTAAGGATTCTGCTAACTTATCTATCATGCAAACTTCAATTGTGCAACAAAACATATAAAATTCTACTTGTAAAAGTATCGTCTAAAGTAAAGAAAAGAAACAATGCTCAACATCCCCCCACAAAAATATTACTACACGCTGAGGAGGAAGCAATATCAAATAATTTAGCCAACATATTTTGTCAGAAAAATTAAAAACCAGTGCTCATATAACTATCCAACCAAAATAAACCAATAAAGAAATCTGATATCAACAAGTGAGTTTTGCTCGTATACCCTATTATTTCTACTGATGGATCAGATTAGGTAAGGTTGCTGCTTACTAATCTATCTTGCAAGCTTTAGCTTCTCATTAAAGCATGTGCACTATACCTAGAACGTCAAAATTTTCATAGAGGAAATAAGAAACGCAGAGGTAGACAACAAATGAAGCTAATATATATATATATATATATATATAGATATATATATATTTGAGAAAATTTCACCGGAAGTTTGCAGCAAGTCGTGAGCGCTGAACGGAGGGAGTGGAGTGGAACCAAACCGCAACACTAGCGATACAGGTGAGAAAGGAGGAGTAGCGAGGGTATATACGAGGATATGGAGTGGGATTATCAAAAATCCAAAGGAGCAGCGACGTCAAAGGCACTTCGCAATGGAGCTCCAGCCGCAGACCGCACCCTCCCCCTTCCGTTTCCGCGTTGGACTTGATGCGGCCTCCGATCAGTGTAATGCTGGCGATAAAAAGGGAAGTAAATGCTGCTCATCCTTTTCAAAGACGTAAAAGTCGCTAAAAAGCTGCAACAACAGGATCCCAAATGGGCCCTTAATCTAACTCTCGTCATGCAGTTGGTTTGGAAAAAATAAAGTAACAGATTAAATGTGTGAAGTTACCTTCCTCCATGGTTTCGAGTAGGAGCAGAGTGGCCGCACGGAAGAGGGTTTCCGGTCAGAGGTAGGTCACCAGTGGGAGTGGTTGCCGATTAGATGTTGCTTCAAATTGAGTGATATACATGTGGATTTTCTGATTGGGAGGCGTCCGACCAGCGAGGCGACTAGCAGGAGCAGCGAAGCTGCCGACTGTAGCAGCGAGGCAGCTGGCCGAAAGGCAAAATGGCTTGACGAGGTGGCTGGCTAGATGAATACACAAGATTTGTGGTTTTTATGCTAATTTTCTATTTAGGAGGTGGTTGCCAAATGGGCGGCCGACCGGTAGATGCTCTATCGGAGGAGTGAGGTGGCCGACCAGTGGCTGGCCAACTGGATGAATATGCAAGATTTGTGTGGTATGCATGTAAGTTTTCTGTTTAGGAGGTGGTCAACTAGATGGGTGGTCGACTAGAGCAGCGAGGCAACCCGCTGGCGGATGGCTGATCGGAGGAGTGAGGTGACTGACCAGTGGGTGGTGGTTGGTTGGAAGGTGAGGCGGCCGATTAATGGGTTTCCACTAGATTAATACGCAAGATTTGTGTGGTATGTATGTACATTTTATGTTTGGGAGGTGGTTGGCTAGATGTGCGTCCGACTGGAGCAGCGAAGCGACCAACTAGTGGATGGTCGACGAAGGAGTGAGTGGCTGGCCGGATAAATACACAAGGTGGTCGGCCGGTCGGAGCAGCGAGGCGGCCGACCGGTTTGTAGTCGGCTGGACGACCTGTTTTGCCGGATGCTTTGAGGAATGAAGTATACGGTTCTCCATCTGCATCTTGAAACCAGTCAAGGTATCCTGCTGACTGCGTCGCAGATCCATCCAACGATGTCATGTCGGATTTTCTGGTGATGAAGCGGACAATTTTTTGTTGTACCTATAAATGTCTCTGAGTGTTGACATGAGATTTTTATGTTCTTTCTAAGTGTCTTTTATCATGTCCTCTTTTGAAGGAGGTTTGCGCCTTTGGGCTAAAGTATCTGAGAAAACACTTGGATCTGTTACTGTGCAAGTTACCCTTTTGTGCTCTTCTTCTTGTTGATGGCACGATCCATGTTTACTACACATTTCAGGGTGTTGAATCCAAATCTGTGCCTTGGGTCGTGCTCAAGGAATAGAGCATGAAACCTTAGAGAAGCAGAGAGTGAGAGAGAGAGGAGAAGAAGACTTGCCCCTCTGGGGCGAATGGGATGTTTCAGGGCCCTTAGACCTATTTTATTCCATTAAAAAAAGAGGTTACAAGCGGGGGAACCCAAAAAACCCTCTAATACATGTCATAGCCCTCCTATTTATAGAAGATAAAAATGACAAAGTATAAAAATTATATTATTAGCTTCGCTTTAAAGAGAAGAGCAAAAGACATTCTAGTCATCTTATTCCGATCTTTGGATTGTCTCGAGATATGTGCAGACAATTTCTGAGTATGCATGTTCAAAGTGACGGTGATATAGACGTTGATGTGATTAGTACAATTCAAGTTTGATGGTTGATGTGGAGAAATGCGTCGAGTCTATTATGTGATAGAAAAGTAATATTTAGACTTAAAAGGAAAAGTGTTATAAGATGGTGGTGAGATCTGCAATGCTTTATGAAGCAGAATGTTGGCCTGTAAAAGAGAAGCACAAAGTTAAGTGTTGCTAAGATAAGAATGCTCGGGTGGATGAGTGGCTTTAGACTTAGAGACAAAGGATTATTTGATAAGGTTGGAGTAGCTCCAGTGGAAAACAAGATTAAAGAATTGCCTTTAGATGGTTTGATCATATTAAACGTCAATCATCTGATGGTCCAGTTAGGAGAGTAGATGTCTTAGATTTAACTTATGCTAAAAGAGGTAGAGCTAGACCTAGAAAGAATTGAGCATGTTATATAAAAAAATAATAGTAATTTATTAGAATGAAAATATGACACTCAATAGCACATAATGGAGAAAAGGATTCATGCAGTCGACCCCACTTAGTGAGATAAATGCTTTCTTGTTGTTGTTGGACTACAAAATGCTTGTTGTTGTTGTTGGACTATATAGCCGGATTCATTTTCTATTATTTGGTTGCGGCTTGACTATACTCACAGGATAGGGAAATTGCTTTGCAAATGTGTTGTCAATGATCATGAGGCTCTATGGAGGTGTATTGCTTTTACCCCCTTTTATTAAAATTTACTGCATGAATAAATTTTGGGGCATTTACATACATACCACACAATTCTTTTGTATTTCATATTTAACAACTAAACATTCATATCTACATACATATCCTTCAAATTTTTAATATCACATGAAAAATATCATCATCACTATTTTTTTAAAGTGAAATACTCCTTTTCATGGTAGGGTTATTACACCAACGTGTTATAAGTATAAATATGAAAATTGGGTGTTAGATATGTTAGTACATAAGAATTGTGTGGTATGTAGTAAATTTTATGCTAGATTTTGGAAAAGCGAAGTAACTAAAAAGATTGACCTGGCAAGACCCAAGATTTGGGATGCTCCTCAATAAATGAACATTTGGCTTGATTGTTGAATAAGTATGGACCCATCCATCAATGTTTGAGTTCCTGTACTTTTTGGGTCTTTATATTCTGATTTCATGGGCTGCCATTTCTTAAATGGGCAATTGAACTCACTTGGTTGGGTATTTGTAATGTCATTCATATTTGGAAAGAGATTAGTCATGAAGGCATCTATTGCTTTATTATAATAATTTGAACGATTTGGAGGAGAATGGTAGAAGTCGTTTTTCTCTAGTAATACAGAGGTTAAATTTGGCTCAACTTGTTTAATTGAACATCAAAACGTTTTTGTTATAGATGTACTTTGAACAGTTTTTAACCTCTAGGTTTCTGATATCTTTTTGTTACATTATCTTTTAGATTTGCTTGAGGGTGAGATATTTCTTCAAAATTTACCCAGTATCGTTGCTGCTCATGTTCTTGGTATGATTATCGATTTCTAGCTCCTTTACTTACTGTCACTTATTCATTCATTGTCATTTTTCTATCTTAATTGATATGCCTTTAGCATTACTAAATTTAACTATTATATAAGAAAGGTAGAATTATATTTTTAGTCATCTTAGCAAAATTTGAAGAAAGAATTTATTTTTCTCGCATAATGCTTAGTTTTTTATGATTACTGGCCACATATCCATACATTGCATGGTAGGGTTAAGATAAAAAAAAAATGGTTTTGGTGTACTTCTCGTGAAGTGTCCTAGCGATAGAGTTATATGAAGAGGCATCATAGGTTGTATTGTAAAAGTCTCCCACACACACTAACGACTTGCTCACAATGATTCTTGAGAAGACATTGGTGCTGAAAATTGGAAGAGAGGTCATTGAAGGTTGTTGTTAGGAGTGTCAGATTGGCTTTGCGGGTTAGGTTTGAGTTTGGCTGGAAATTGACCCGACACACTATCAACCCGTCGAATATAATCCAACGCATATAACTTGTTTAATATAAGACATAACAACTATTCAAGTCAAATTTGGATCGATGTATAGTCAATCTCAGATCAATTTTGAGTTGGTAGGTCAATTTTGAGTCAATTTCGGGCTAGGATTCTAACTCAAACCCGACCCAAAAATTATTTGGCTTAACCTAAGCACAAATTTTTTTAGTTGAGTTCCCGTCAAGTTGACGCGTCGGGTTAATTTTTGACACCCTATTTGTAGTGGTAGAACATGGAAGATTTACTGTTGGATTCGGGTTGAACTGCACATGATAACCAAAATATTGGTTATAGCTTTTGGCATGGAGCTGTTTTGGAAGGAATTTTTTTTTACTTGTTTGAGGATGATGAATTAGGGAAATGGTTCACAACTAATTGCGGAAGAGATGAAAAAAGACTAAACTACTAAGGCTATGAGAGAGTGGGTACACACCCCACAGTGGAGCAAGGATGCCCTGGTCAGCTAAGGGAAGGATGCAAGAAATTTGTATTCCATTTCAATTTTCCTTCCTCTTACAATAAGTCCTATGTATCTATTGGAAAGGTTGGATTTCCATCTCATTCCTCCATACTTTCCAAACAAAGCTAACTGAAATATAAAATAAAAATTCAAATTATATTGTACTGCAATTAAAGAATAGAAAAGGGAATATAATACTTGCCTCAGGTTTGCTCACATCTGTCCTCATGCAGTCCACCTCCATCAAATATTTTTTTTTTTCTAATTCCCAAGCCTAGCCATGCCATCACGGGGAAATACACCGGACTTGACCCGAGAAGAGATTCAATGAGAAATCCGCCGTCTGCAACGTAGACTAGCAAAGTTGGATGATGGGAACTAGGAAGAGTTCACCTTCGATCGCGATTGGGATAGTCGAAGAGAAGATAAGGGCGAGGAGATAAATCCATTCCATAGAGAAGATCATAATGATGAGGAATATCGACCATGCTGTTTTGATATCTAATGTCAAAGATGATCAAGAGAAAAGACCCCTTATGGAGGTCAGCGGGACTTTGGCATCAAGATGAACCTCCCTAAATTTGAGGGTGGTATGGATTTTGATGAGTTTGTCCAGTGGCTGCGAACAGTCGAACAGATCTTTGAGTATAAAGTCGCACTTGTGGACAAATGAGTCAAGTTAGTTGTAATCAAATTAAAGAAGAATGCCTTCTTTTGGTAGGAAAATCTACAAAAGCAGAGGAGAAAATAAAACAGTGAAAAGATAAGTGGGAGAAGTTGAAGAAGGCAATGCAGAAGAAATGTCTCCCACTGCAATATCGACAGGACATGTTTGTAAAAGTCCACAACTTACAACAACGGGATCTTTTAGTTAAAGAGTTCACAACCCTATTCGACCACTTGCAGTTGACGTGCGAGCTGACGGAGCCACAAGAACTTACGATAGCCAAATATCTCAGGGTTCTGAAAGCCGCCATCAGCAATGTGATACAATGGCAACCTTACTGGACGCTAGGGGACGTCCAACCCTAGCCTTGATAGTGGAAAGACAACAAAATCAATGTTGGCAACAATCGTTCCTCAGACCCCCATCTTCAGCTAAATAGTCACCTGCAACTTTTACAACAAATAGAGGTAACTCGGGAGGAAATAACAAAATTGAACTGTGAACTGATAAGGCAGATCAGAGTGGGAAGAAGCCACAAAGAGGTGGTTTCTCCAATATAGTGCCGATCAGGATGTGTTTTGGGCGCCACTGCTATCGTCACATACCCTCCAGCTGCCCAACAAGTCGAGTCGTCACACTCACAGGTCAAGAGGCCATCGAGAAAGTCGATGACGAGTTGGAGGAGAGCCCAAAAGAACTTCAGCTCCACAGAGACGGGGGAGAAGCGTTAGTTGTTGGGCGAGTACTACTGAGCAAGCCAGTACAAGACCAGTCTTGGTTAAGGAATAGCATTTTTCACACCAAGTGCACCATCAAGAGGAAGCTCTGTAGCCCGATCATCGATAGTGGGAGCTGCGAGAATGTGGTGTCCATACTCATGGTGAAAATGATGAGATTGGACACAAAAGTATCTCCAGTCATATTCTCTTGCATGGCTGAAGTAGGGAACTGAGAAAGTGTGGATCAGCAGTGCCTAGTTAATTTCTTCATTGGAGACCAGCTACAAGAGCAAATATGGTGTGACGTTATTCCTATGGACGCCTGCCACATTCTATTGGAAGTCCTTGGCAGTTTGATTGCAAGTCCTAACACGCTAGTTCAAGAACACTTATTCTTTCAGAAAGGATGGGAAACATATTGTTTTGCTACTTGCTAAGGATACAAAATGTGAGAGCAATACAGAGGCAACATTAGTTCCTCGGACCACTTTCTTGCAGTCAGTTAGAGATACCCCCGTAACACTAATATTAGTTCTCCTGAAAGGAGGCAAGGAGGAAAGAGATATACCAACACTACTGCAGCCATTAGTACAGTACTTTCAGGATGTTATGATCGACAACTTACCGGAGGGATCGTCGCCACTAACATCCAACATGCCATAGACCTTATACCCGAATTCGTATTACCAAACCGACCAGTCTATAGATTGAGATCTGCAGAGTATAAAGAACTACAACGACAAGTGCAGGATCTCATCTCAAAGGGACTAGTCAGAGAAAGGACCAATCCGTGTGCAGTCCCTGCCTTGATGATGCCCAAAAGGGATGAATCTTGGCGGATGTGCATCGACAACCGAGTCATTAACAAGATTACCATCAAGTAACGATTTCCCATACTTTGCTTGAATGATCTTTTAGACCAGCTACATGGAGCCGCTATCCTCTCCAAGATCGACTTGCGCAACAGATATCATTAGATATGGATGAGGCCAAGAGATGAGTGGAAGATCGCATTCAAGACATGAGATGAACTTTTTGAGTGGACAATTATGTCTTTCGGCCTGTCGAACTCACCCATTACTTTCATGAAATTAATGAGCAAGTATTTTAGCCTCACATTGGAAATTTTTTGTTGTCTACTTTGACGACATTTTAGTCTACAACCGGCGGAGGAGGATCACTTGCATCACTTGAAGGTTGTATTCGAGGTACTGTGAGCTGAGCAATTATATGCCGATCCGAAGAAATGCCACTTTATGACAAGCTAAGTATGCTTTCTAGGTTACATTGTATCTAGTGCAAACATTCAGTTGGATCTCACAAAGATAGAGGCCATTATTAGCGGGATCGGCCTCAATCGTTCACCGAGCTAAGACAATTTTTGGGGCTAGCATCATTCTATTAGAGATTCATCAGGAACTTCAGTACTATCATCTTCCCACTGACCGAACTTTTAAAGGAGTTTTCTTGGACAACTGCAGCCGAGGACAATTTTGACACACTACAGGAAAAGGTGACTCAGGAACTTGTGCTAGCACTACTAGACTTCAACCAAATTTTCAAAGTAGAGTGTGTTGCCACCGACGTTGAGATTGGAGCAGTGTTGAGCTAGGGAGGAAATCCCATCACCTTCTTCAGCGAGAAGCTGAATGAGTTTAGGAGGAAATACTTGATATAAGACAAGGAATTCTATGGCATTATTAGGGCCCTAGAGCACTAGAGTCATTACCTATTAATGAACGAGTTCACACTATTTACAGATCACTAGGGCCCTAATATTCCTCAATAGCTAGAGCAAACTGAAAGATCAACACACCATTTGAGTGGAATTTCTAACCTCATTTCAGTTTGTGCTAAAGCACAAGACCGGAAGCCAGAACCACGTAGCTGATGCATTGAGTTGTCAATATCTATTGATCACTTCCATACAGGCTCGAGTTATGGGCTTCGAGATTATAAGAGATCTAAATGAAACAGATAAAGATTTCAAAGACATATGAGAACAACAGATACTTGTTTCACCCGAGTCAACTATGCATTCTTTGGTATTCATTAAGAGAAGTCATTATCCAAGTGAGCCACAACGGAGGATTAGCCAGTCACTTCGATAGGGAAAAGTCCCTCGCTCTAGTAAGGGAGCATTTTTTTTCGGCCCAAATTGACAAGATGTGGAGCGACATGTTAGACAATGCAGGATTTGTCACCTGGCAAAGACAAGGGCTCAAAACGCAGGATTGTACACATTACTATCACTGCTAGAGCACCATGGGTTGTCGGCAGCATGGATTTTGTGGTGGGAGTCCCAAGGACCCAAAGAAACGAGGACTCCGTCATGGTAATGGTAAACAACTTCTCCAAGATGGCTCACTTTGTACCGTGTCACCAGACACTAGACGTCTCTCACATTGCTGATCTATACTTCAGAGAAATTGTATGGTTGCATGGGATTCCCAAGACCACCTTCGATAGATCTGTCAAATTCCTGAGTCACTTATGGAGGATACAATGGGGAAAGCTTGGCATAAAACTCCAATTCAGCTTGGCAGCCCTTCCACAGATGGACAAACAGGTAGTAAACTGGAGCCTCAATAATCTTCTGAGGTGTTTCATGGGAAAAAAAATATAAAAGTGTGATCTTA